GCTACCCTTTTTTTAGAACTACCACCGCTGTTTTGAAGTTAAGTTCCCTAGCTGAGAGCATATTTATTTCAAACTTTAGGCTTATGTGATATTCTAGCAAAAAAAAAATTTTCTGAGCAATATTGCAGTTTTCCATGTGCACTGTGTTAGTTTAAGTTATGCCTTACCTCTGGAAAATACAACTTTGGTATAAGGTTGACAGTTTTGTAACAAAAGGAAAATTTCGGACGTGTTTTAGGTCCCTTTCCTTTAAAGAAAGAATCCAGTTTGATGAAGAAGTTGCAGCCTACCATGCCGAAGAAAAGCGTATGATGCGAGAGTGAGTAAGACTGGAGTGGATCAGACGGCTGATGATTCATTGGAAAAGCATGCTTCAGTTAAATGTATTTATTCAGTCTGTGTTTGTCTTTATCACGACAACTATTTGTGTACCGAGGGGAGATTAAATGAATAAAGTGGCGTTAAATCTTGACAAACCGGTTTGCATTCACTAAAGGTGAGGTTTTCGTGTTGGAAGCTTACTTTCATCTTGTGTATTTTGTAATAATTCGAAATGTTTAACAAGTGTGTTTGATGTGGTATTTATACAAGCAATTTACGCATCAGTAATATGTTAATGGTTTTTAGCTGGAGGAAGTCCTGTGGGATTTGTTTTGCTTATTAAGAGATTGTAATTTAAGCCGAAACCATTCAAAGGCATCTCTTAAACTTTCTTTTTTCTTTTTTTGTGTGAACTTTGATGTAGCATTTATCCTCTCTGTATTATATTGTAACCAATGTGTGCACACGGACATCAATAAACGAGATGTTTAGTAGTGGTTCATTCACAGTTCAGTTATCAATTCACGAGTTTATTACGAGCCAACAAAAGAACCAGCTTCTAGTTGGCTTGCTAGTTCAGTTGGTAGAGCACTGCACCGATGTCTCAAAGGTCGTGGGTTGAAATCCTGTGCAGGTCTAAATTTCTAAATGGTGATTAATATACCCATGCCTCGAAGCAAAGGATGAAGACAAAATCAAATAAGTCAAGGCCCAATTGGTTGAGATTGGGCGAAATCAGAAACGAGATTTTAATCACTGTTGTGAAAAACATGGAAATGATATTTCTGAAACATAAATTAATGGACTTTGCAATTCATTTCGTTGTGTCGCGTCGAAACGATATCTGGAGGGCACAGGTTCAAACCTAGTCGAAGTTACAATTGTTTTTTGTTCATCGTTTTCCATGCATTTGCCTCAATTTGACA